CTTTTGGGACATTATCCTCATCAATAGACTGTTCCATTCGTAACATCTGAAATAGAAATACTCTCATTCAATTTACTGATATCTATCGTACTATAGATTAAAATTCAAGCAAAATGGCTAAAATTTTCGAAAGAGGACTTATGAGAACTCCTTCTTTTGAAGTTTTTCATATATCACTCAGATCTATCTGACACACAGGGCTTGAACTCAAAACCAATTTGACACCTACATAGGGTTTCTCGTTAGCATTCGACTAAAATTCTAGTAACATTAGGATAACTTTCGAGAGAAGAGCTAATCAAGAGCATCCTTGTGAGTTTGTCTTATCTTATCGAAGTCTATTTTATGCAAAGAGGCTCAACTCGAAAAGGATTTATCACTTCCAAGCGCTACCACATTCGATGCATATGCCTTGGAAGATTTTGTTCGAAACCATCTTAACAAAAGCTTTGTGCCAGTACTGTTACGAGAGGTATCGCACGAAACCATTTGTACGAAACCTGTTGAACATCATTTTGGAAAGGTTTCGTACTGAACCTTCTATACGAAACCTTTTTGGCTTTTTTCTGTAAAGGTTTGGTACTAAACCTGGCGTACGAAACCTTTTGGATTTTTCGCGGTAAAGGTTTCGTACTAAACCTTGTGTACGAAACCATTTTTCCCATTCATCAAGAAAAAGTTTCATACGAAACCTTTTTTTTCCGAAAACAAAGAAGGTTCGGAGCGTGTGCTCGGGCCCCGATCCTTTTTTGGTTTCGTAAAATACCTTTTTTTTTTTACAGTGCAGGGGTTAGATGATGAATAAGTAAAGGTCCATTTGTCATGAAAAAATTATAACGAACATTGTTTTTTCTTCAAATTTTTGTCTTCTCACTTCTGTGGGAGGACTTGTTCCTTGTGCTATCCAAGCTTTCGATTCTTGTTTTGATTTAATTTTGCGATGATAAAACCAACTTTCATCACCAGTAACTATATCACATAATTTCCATGCACCACTTTCAATCTTCTGTAAATTTTCGATACAAATATCAACACGACGTTGTTGTTGTGCTGATGTGAGTTTATGAGGTATCCATTTTGACGATACTTTTTTTAAATTAAGGTGTTGTTTGAGAATAGTATCCACATTACCATGTGATATATCTAACATGTCAGCAATATAATCAATACTAATATGTGGATCGTCATTCACCAGGTCTTTAACAGCTTCAATATTTTGTTGAGTAATGACGGATAACGGACGACCATTTCGGGGATCATCGTCTAACGACTCTCGTCCACTTGAAAATCGATGAGCCCAATGAGCAATTGTACAATATGCAACAACACCTTGTCCATAAGCAGTAGTTAATTCCTCATGAATTTGTGTAGTAGTTAAACCCAATAACAAACGACTTTTTATATATGAGCGTAAACACAGTTTATTCATATGAAAACAGGGATGTTCAAAAAAGTTACCAATAATTTACCATAACAGACACTTATGAAACTTCATATTGGTATTTTAAAACACGATAGATGCCCCTACTAGAATAGGCCAACATCCGGAATAAAACTATTCAGGATGAAATTTTAGACTTCTGTTGCAAGAACTTTTTGACTACCCTATGTTTTAAAAACTAATTCAGTCTTCGAGCTAATGACTTCTATCACGACAAGGATATCGTCGATGAACTATGATGTAAAAGTTTCTATAAAAAAAAACATACGGTTGTTTACAATTCTCAGAAAATGTTAAGAAAATCGCTTTTCAAACTATCACCAAAACGACCTTCCAAATCTTCAACAAGCTTAGTAATTGCTGTTTTTCAAGACGAAATCATAAAATAGTTTTCTCGTTCTTACACTTATTTAGGAACAATATCGACTTTTTACCGGAAGCTCATAGAAAAAAAATCAAAACTATCGTAATCAGTCTTCTTTTTCGAAAATTGCACGACACAGCTCATCCACAAAACTCAGGCATCGAACGAATGAAATGGAAACTTTCATTGATTAATACAGTTCATACCAAAATTGGAGGTAATAATGCAGTTAGCGTTCTAAGAAAATCTCCGTTTCAGACTAGCCTACTGTTGAGAATTACAGATAGTATTAATTGTTAGATAATGCGTTGGACTTTCTTTTACCCTACACATATTCCAAAATGAAATACATGTTTTTCGGTGATGCAATGTCTATTTCTATTAACAAAATAAAGCCTGCACTTTGTGTCATAATACGAAAACAATATTCTCTTCTTTCCTCATATTATAATAACAAACGTCCGTGTACCAAATAGCGAAGCAATTGTCTCATTTCAACAAAGCCAGCGACAAAACCCAAGACAAAATCACTTTATCAGTTTCTAGAACAATTTCACAGCGAACGGGAGTTTCACTTAAAATAAATCTGACCCAAAGTAATTAAGAAGCTGAATACGCAGTCAATTATGACTTTTTCATTCATATACCTCATCGTTCATAAGTCTCAACAAATCAGGTCAGCGTCTCTTCTCATACAGCCTGTCTTTTTCTCCTATCGCTCAACATTATCATTGTACCCGGCGATTCAAGCCATCAACAAACCTTGAAAACCATTCTACCAGACGTTCTTCCTAAATTACAAAAAAAAACTCCATTTTAATACGCTTATTTTCCCCCATGCTAAAGTCAATAAAAACACGACAGACCTCTTTATAATGCTTACTCGATTTTCATAGACGACAAAACATTCTAATACAACACAATTCGTTCAGAAACTACTTCCAAAATCAAACTCAACTACTACTTCCAGATCAAAACCACCTTCCCATTCCCACACCTTCGTCCCTCACCTTCTCGATCCATGCCTATTCCCCAAAACAAACATTCAAATGTATGCCACAGATAAAGGAAACAATAAAAAGCTCCGCATCACATAAATGACTACACAAAACCAAATCCAAAACCTACCCATCCATCAACATACGCCATATAACCCCAACGAAAACACCCATCCGTCCGGCCACAAACACTACAATACATGGCAAACAAGATCTTAGCAAGATCACAGCCACAAATTCGCAAACACGATACGAGAACAAACTACTATTCAAGAGCCACTGCAATGTGATGTTCGATCAGCTGACCAAGTCGCAACCTTTCCCTCGAAGTGAGCAAACGAGGTGAACAGAAGTCTTCTTAGTAATTTTCCTTTCCCATGTGATCTTCGATCAGCTGACCGCGTGGCAACCTTTGCTTCGAAGTCAGCAAAAGAGGTGAACAAAAGTCTGGTAATGAATGTTCCTTTGCCATGTGATCTTCGATCAGCTGACCGAGTGGCAACCTTTGCTTCGAAGTGAGCAAAAGAGGTGAACAGAAGTATCTTGATAAGGGTTCCTTGTCCATGTGATCTTCGATCAGCTGACCGAGTGGCAACCTTTGCTTCGAAGTGAGCAAAAGAGGTGAACAGAAGTATCATAATGAATGTTCCTTTGCCATGTGATCTTCGATCAGCTGAGCGAGTGGCAACCTTTGCTTCGAAGTGAGCAAAAGAGGTGAACAGAAGTCTGCTAATGAATGTTCCTTTGCCATGTGATCTTCGATCAGCTGACCGAGT